TTATCTTCTCTGAAATACTTAATTACAGCTGTATTTGTGCTTAGCAGGTGTTTTATATTAAAAATAGAAAATTTCATAAATCATGTTCTCATCACCGTACCCTTTCCCTTCTCTGAGGGACTCTTTCGATCTGAAGAACGGCACTGAAGCATTTCCCTTTCTGCTCTGGCCACTAGGAAATGTAGAGCTAAATTTATTTAGCAAATGGATTGTATTACTCTATGATAATCTTATCCTTGGCTTTAATTTTCTTACTCCTTTTTCCCTTTGACAGTTTATTTTATCTTTTTGATTGCCTGTATTTTGTAAGCCATCATGTTTCAAAGAATCAGTTGGTGCCTGGTGTGGTAGCTCATCTCCGTTCTCCCAGGACTTAGGAGACTGACTGGGGAGGATGACAAGTTCAAGACCAACCTGGACTACAGTGAGACACTGTCTCATAAGCAAACAACAATAATAATTATGAAATAAATCGTGGAAAGTTCATAAATTTTAGTTGAATTGAGTTCCTAACATCATTTCCCAGTGAAGCTTTGATTCAAAGCTTTTTGTGTTTTTTGTTTTGTTTTGTTTTTTTGGTACTGGGGATTGAACTCGGGACCTTGTGCTTGCAAAGCAGGCGGTGGAACCACTGAGCTACATCCCTGGCCCTGAGTCAAAGTTTTTAAGCAAGACGCAGGTATAGCTCAATGGTACAGCACTTGCCTCGCATGTGGGAGGCTATGGGTTCCATGCCCAGCTATGGAAAAAAGAGATCTTTAATCCAAGTACTTTTAACTCCTGGGTCTTGTGAAAGGTGCTCAGCTATGGCTTTTCAGAGGCATACTTAAGTTATGAACATAAACTAATCACATTTCCAAGTCCATAAATTTGATTAATTTTCATTTTAGAAAATCTAATTTAGCTCCATTAAGATTTCTTAAATTAGGGCCGGGGATTTAGCTCAGTGGTTCCGGCGCCTGCTTTGCAAGCGCCAAGGTCCCAAGTTCGATCTCTGGTACCACAAAAAAAAAAAAAAAAAAAAAAAAAAAAAGATTTCTTAAACTTTCAGCTCAATGTTGAAGAATAAAGAACTTGATTGACATTTAATTCTTAGACTCAGTAACTTGCACCGAAGTAAAATCTCAATCAGTTGTCTTGTATTGGTTAGATCTTGTGACACTTTTCACGGAATAGTTGAAGCTTTCTCTTTGCTTTCTGAGCAAACAAAGAATTTAAGTTGTAAGAAGAAATAATTGAATATTAAAGAGTGATTTCCCGACAACTTGTATTCACATTCGCATATTAAAATGCTATTATATTATCCTCATAATCTAACCTGGCTCTGCTTGGTACTTTAATGCACTACTTATAAACAGTTTGTTAAATCAATATTTGATTAGTTTTCAGGGAAGTCTATCTTTCAAGGTGATAAATATACGCCCTTGGAAAACATCCTATAAATTAAATCATTTGCTAAGGTCTTTAAAAAATTGTTCCAAATCAAAACTACTCTGGAATGTGATGCCTGGAACGGGCCTTACCTGTGATGATTTGTAATGTCTGCTGCTTCTTGCTTTTTTTTTTTTTTTTTGGTACTGGGGGTTGAACTCTCATCCCTGCGCTTGCACAGCAGGTGGCGAAACCACTGAGCTAAATCCCTGGCCCTGCTGCTTCTTTCTTGAAATCATATCTCTATTGAGTTTTGTAATATTGCATTCTCTTTCTTCCCGTTCCCTCTCTGATAATGCTTTCATCTTGTTAATGGTTTGCTGCTGCTCCTCTCGTTCTCTAACTGTGGGCATTCCCCAGCTTCAGCATTCAGCCTGGCAGCTTCTCTCTTGAGCTTGCTTTTTTTGCAGTACTGGGCATTTGTAGGGAACAGGGGAAGGGGACGTTACCAGAACCTCTGCAGTGAGTCCTAGTCTCCTGCGAGCCACAGCAGCACACGGCAAATGACAGGAAAGGTAGAAAACTGAGACCGAGAAGAAGCTGAGCTTTGGGTCTGATCAGTGCTGCTCTGGGCAGCAAAGACAAAAGCCCCCGAGCTTGCAGCACTTTTTATTCAATACAGGGGGAAACAGAGGTAACAAGTGAAATGCAGAGTTCAGTACTTCACTTTGGGATAAAAAAGGTGTAACAAAAGACAGTGGAAAAAAGGCAGTGGAAATCCAAGAACAACGAGGAACTATGCAGATGAAGATTTGGTTCCTCCCCGGCATCTCCCGCAGGTGTGGTCTTGTCCTGGAGATTACAGCATCCGAGGAACACTGAGGTCTCAGTTGTGACCCGAGGCCAAAATGCAATTATGTCTGGAATGTCCTAGCCGGCCTGTAGGCAGGAGAACTAGGCCTACTCCAATGATTTTTCCCTAGAATTATGTAGCATTGCTCCCCACAAGCTTTGAATCCAGGCCCTCCCATCCATAACTAATCCTTTGAAAGCATCAGCTTTCACCCTTAAGAGATGACTCTCTGGTCCTGAATATTCTCATCTCAGATTACGTACTGGACACTTCCACTACCACCTCAACTACATTGTGTCAGCTATCAATAATCACTGGTAAATTTGTTCAAGTGGTACCTAAGACTTAGCGATAACAAGATAAATCTCCTTTATTGATTGTACACTGCCTGCTACATCAGGTGATTTAAAAAGAAAATCTCTTTTAAGACTCTGAGCCCTCCTAGAGAAACGGGTTTTATCACCTTTACCTATTATGAAATTGGGAATAAGAGAGGTTAAAAATAATAATGTGGAAAAATAAAACTTACCTTGGTGTCACAGTAGCTTGAAATAATAAAATTTGAACTCGTCTGTCATATTAAGCTGCCTCTCAAAACTTATATCTAAAATTAAATTCTTTTTTTATTTTCTATATAACCATCTTTTTCTTCTTAGGTCTCTATTTCTATCTGTGGTGCCATAATTCTCCTAATAGAGAAGCTTGACACTGGGTATTTCTTTGGCTCTTCCCTCTTCTTTATTCCTCTTTATTTCAAATCCATCACTAAGTCCTATAGTATTGCTTCCTCCTAATTTTCCCTTCTTCCTTCCCTTAGTTCGCACACTTATTAACGCCTCCCATGAACCGCTGTCCTCTGCTGCCTTTAGCTCTTGTGCACACCTTTCTTCCCTAGGGCATAGTGAGGGACCATGCAAGGGCAGCCACTTCCCAGTAGTTTAGCTGATCAGAGACTCCCACGGCAGCCTCTAAGGTCCTGAGCCTGACCGTCGAGGCTCTGTAGCCAGCCACACATGCACTTCACTCCAGTCTCCTGCTCGCTCTGCATTGCCTGGGGTGGGGATTTGATTTCTTCTGAACTTTTGCTCACATCGTCCTGCTTCTCTTGAAAACATTCTTCTCTCTGTCTTTCCCTGAAAATGACCAACTCAAGTTCCTAAGTTGGTTCTTCCGTCTCCACCTTCCTCTAAAGTTCACCTGCTTTGTTTACTATTTGCATAATTTGCACAGCACAATTACATGTTGTCTTGTGGTATAATTAAATTTGTATATGGGACATGTTTTGCCTCCTGATCAACTTTTAAATTCTTGGAGTGCAAGGATGATCGCTTTCCAACATCTTCTATATCCCTCAGGCATTTGAAATGAGCCATCATGTAATTCACTCTACAAACAATCTAGCATTCAAAGAAAGAAAGAAAATTACTTTCATAGAGCAATAGGGTAACATTGATGGCTTTAGAATTAAGAATATCTGGGGCCGGGATTTAGCTCAGTGGTTCCACTGCCTGCCTCCCAAGCACAAGGACCCAAGTTCAGTCCCTGGTACCAAAAAAACCCAATTAAGAATATCTGATTCAGGTCTGATCCCCTATGTGAATTCAGTGCTTTCACGTTCTTCCATAATACAAGGTTACTTGTGTCATGGCCTATTGTGATGTTCATGGCATCTTGAGGACCATCCAGCCAATCTCTGGCTCCTACATACCCTAAAAAACAAACTACAATGGCTGTTGGGTAACTGAAGACCATCACTGTCAGTTTAGGTCCTATATGAGTATGGATCATTGGTTTGGGCCACCCTGGTATCTGCAACTGATATGAATAAATGTACAGAATATATGCTCATAGTATTAAGTAACTTTGTTGCCTTTTTTAGATTGAAATATATAATTTTAATATTGAAATAGTTCTCCTCTAAAGCAATGATTCGCAAAGGTCTTCAAGAAAATAAGAAAAACTATTCTAACAGTGAAACGAAATAATAAAACTGACAGAATTATTCTGTATTTTGCAATTCTCTCCTACGTTTGACATGGTTGAAAATCCTTTGTTTATGAAACGGTAGTGACAATAAATAACAGGGGACAGTGGTTGTAGTTTCTGTTGTTGCTCTCTTTTCCCTTAAAAAGCAGAAAGTAGGCCGGGGATTTAGCTCAGTGGTTTTGCCGCCTGCTACACAAGCGCAAGGACCCAAGTTCGATCCCTGGTACCAAAAAAAAAAGCAGAAAGTTGTCAAACTGATGTTGATTTGCATAGTGGTTTTGAGAATGTTACACGTGCATGTTACCCCAAGTGCTTGGGAATCCTAATCTAACTCAAGCTCTTTGCTTTGAAGTTGGGAACTGTTTGATTTACAGGAGTTAAATGACTGGTTCAGGGTCACCTAGCTCATACTGCAGACCTGATGTGATAATTCAACTCTATTAAGTCTCAGTGCATCATTCTTTAAGTGAATGACTTATCTTTTCTACAAAGGGAAAGAAGAATCTACTTTCCATATGACAGCTGAAGAAAAGGTGTTGTATAAATTTTATTCATTCATAACAATTTTACTAAAATACTCCTAGAGAATGGCTTTGTCACTAAATGGAAGAAATCGATGGTAGGTGAAATAATATCAGAGATTTTTTTTATAGTTTTTCTGAAGTTTTCACTTCTAAAGTTTTAGTTTTATTTTTTCCATTTATTTTCAAAGAAAATTTACTTTTATTAAAAGTATCTTTGTATAGCAAAAACTATGGAAAACACAGAACTACAAAAAGAAGAAATAAAAATACTCTATGTACAGAGAAATAATTGGTGATATTTTAGGATATTTCTGCTAGATATTTTTTGTTTATATTTTTACATAGTTGAAATTATACTTTACATTTCCTAATTCTTTATTTTACTTCTGCATCTTATTTTTTTTTTAATGTAATATTTACACATTCTAAAGCTCAGAAAGAACAAGCAAGTATAAAGGTACTCCTTCTGATATTCTGCAGTCACCTCATTTTCTTTCCTAATGAAAATGAGTAAGTCTTCTTAAAATTTTTCTTATGTGTTTTCTTCCATAGATATTTTACACACTGTGGTCAAACTCTTTAGGTTAATAGTAAAACATATATATCTCTCCATCTCATTTAAAATCTCATAAACATCTGTTTTAAGGGCTACTAGTTTACTGTATAGATATACCATAATTTATTTAGTTGTGCTTATCCATAAGACATTTAAAATGCTTTCAATGTTTTATTTTTGGCAACTTTTCAGATCCTAGCCCTTAAACTGAAAGAGCTTATTGATCTTTTATTTTTGAAACTTTAGGACCAATAACTAAAAATAACTTTTCCACAAATCACTTTTCTTGGACAAATTATCCCTGTTTTACTGTACCCCAATTCTTGAACGCAAGTCTGTTGTTTCTTCTGCTGACGGTAGACAGTCAACCTGGGGGTCGGAATAGCTTTTCCCCCACTGAACCGACCTCAGCTGGATAGCCAATGCTCTTGTACTCAAGAAAGAATATGCTCCCACTCAGTGTCCCATGAACATTGGTGGTAGAAATGCGGTACTGAGCGACCAGTGTTTGACCACATCATCATGGCGGACTCCTATGTCCTGTGTTGCCTAAGTCCCCTTTGGGGGCCTTCTTGCTAAAGCAGAGCAGCGGCAATGCATCCAAACACACGCAAGGACCAAGACAGAGAACAGCATAGCAATACAAAAAAAGAAAGAAATGATGATTCAAGTAGAAAACATACCCAAGAATAAATGAACGTTTATGCTGCTTTCAGAGGACTATGCAGTTGACAGGCTCAGCAGTAAATGCTGAAAGCATCAGTTCTTTTTAGATTGGTCAGAAAAAAGTTTGCCTTGCTTAGAGGAATATTCGTGGATTTGGCAAGGAACAGAGAAAGGACAGGAAGCTTCAGCAAAGCAAAGGAGAGGCTATTTCTGGCCTAGAGGAAGGTATATGTAAAAGTAAGCTATTTGGAGTGAGAAATCTGGACCTAAGCTAGGAGGAAATTAGCATAAAGGGACCAAAGAAGCTTGACAAGAAAGGAAAATTCTGGGTTGAAAGATCTGTAGTAAAGCGGAGAACATATGGGCTTCATGTAGATGGAAACCTGACTTTCTGAAAAATAGATGAATCAGTATGGCTTCACCCCACACTTTTTTCTTGCGTTCTCTCCCAAACAGCCCATCTCCCAGCTCCATCCCACCCCAAACTATAGTCTGTTGGCAATGCTCCATTCCTTGATGTGGAAATATTAACATGTTCACAATTTATCAAATGTTATGCAACTGTAGACCCGACCCAACCCAACTATGTTATCATACTGATCTGTGTAGAAATGTTCCAAGTAGCTGTGGCAAAACTAATGTTTGCTCCCAACCATTTTCTACACTTCCTAAAAATTCCACAACATGACGGCTAATTTAAGACAAGCTCTGAGGGGCAGATGAAGACCCAGATTGAGCACTCCCCAGTTACAGTTAAGATAAATCCACCTTCAAATAGATCCTCTCGAAGCTGTGTCTCAAATTCGATGTAGGAATGTTAAGCACCGTGGGTGGGTCTGCTGCAGAAATACTTTTTGGTGCAAGTGCTCTTCCCCATGAAGCTGATGGTGACCACTTACACGATGCTAGCTGAGGTCCCAGGGACCTTCCGCTCCAGCCAGTAATCTAAGCAGTGCTTGCATGGTATCTGTGGCTCTGGTCCCATTCTTCCCTCGTTGTTCTCAACTCACTTCCTTGCTGTAAAATGAGGATAACAATGCTCACTTTACAGAATTGTTGTAAAATTTAAATCCAGTTTCTGTAATGACAGACTAAATAAGTCAGAGTAACTTTTCTGCTGAGGATGATCAGAAGAGTAGGGAGAAAATCATATTTAAAAATCTAGTTCAAGGCACTGGAAGGCTAATAAGATACTGAGCAAACTCAGGTTGAGCTGGGAGCAAAGCTAAAGGGTGGAGAGACCAGGAGTTTGAGCTGTAGTTCTGAAAGCCACAGGGGCAGAAGGCTGTCACCGCCCTCACGTCAGTGTAAAACTCTGAAAGGGCCAGGGATTTGGCTCAGTGGTTCCGGCTCCTGCCTCGAAAGTGTAAGGTCCCAAGTTCGATCCCTGGTACCAAAAAACAACAACAACAACAACAACAAAAAACCTCTGAAGGACCTTAGGGAAGAGGGTAATTCAGACGTAAGTATCCCAAGAGACTACAGCTCAGCTTTGAATTGTGTCCACCCATGAACTTGCTTTTAGGTGACCTGTAAGTGTTTGAGCAGGTAGGTAGCTGGTAAAAGTAAACATAAATCTGCTTTGGAGGACGGTAACAGCATCTCAGACCACAAACATTTCTACAGTTTCACACATACAATATCTGACACACAATAAAAAGAAATCTGATACACAGGAGTAAAACAATATGAACTGGAATCAGTAGTAATATCAGACAACAGTAACAGATTCACAAAGCCTACAGACAACAAAGTTGGGGACACCAGCTTCAAAATAACCATATTAGTAAGGTCAAGGGATGGAAAAACAAACAAGATTGAGAAGTTCAATCAAGAACAGCAATACAAAGTAAATAGATACTCTGGATTACAGAACACAATAAACAAAAAATTTAAGAGCAGATAAGATGCAATGAAAAAGAGAATTAGTAAATTAGCCAGGTATTTAGCTCAGTGGTTCCACAGCCTGCCTCACAAGCACCAGGTCCCGAGTTCGATCCCCGGTACCAAAAACAAAAACCAAGAAGAGAATTAGTAAATTAAAAGATCAGAAGGAAGTTCCCAGAATGCAGTAGAACATAAGAATAGAAAAATCAGAAAAAACAGTAAAGCACATGGAACTACCGTGCGAAGCCCTAAGATACATTCACTCGAAACCCAGGAGGGAAGAGGAGACTGGGGTGGGCTTCATATTTAGAGACAATTTTCCAAACTGGTAAAAAAAAATCAGTCTGTAGACTCACTAAATCCTTCAAGCAGTTCACGTCGTCCTTCAAGTAGTTCTTCAAGCAGCAGGAAAATGATTCCAAGATGAAAGTTAGGGCACAGCAAAAAATGAAGGGCAGCCAGGGAAGTGGCTCAGCGGGGCCTCGGCTGCCTGGCAAGCACAAGGTCCTGAGTTTGATTCCTGGAACTGGGAAGAGAAAAGAAAAGGAAAAAAAAGAAAAGAAAAAGGAAAAAATACGAAGGGCAATAAAAATGACAAAATATGTAGGTTATCTAAATAATACTGACTGTATAAACCAATAACTATAATGACTTTGGCATTTAAAATAGAGAACTAAAATACAAAACAAAAATGAGGACAGAACTTTGAATAAGAGGTGCTAAAGAGACAGGGATAATAGGCCACGAAAAAGATGGTGTCGACGTTTAATTTTCTTGCATTATCCAAGATGAAGCTGAAACTATTGTTATCATACTTAACTGTACTTACTTATTATACTCAGTTGAGAAAAATGGAAAAAGAACATACGGCTTTTAAGGTAATCATGAGAAAAAAAATTTAAGTAATTACTTTAAATGTAAATAAACTAAATTCCCCAATGCAAAGACAAAAGATTGTCAAAATTGATTAAAAATTAAATTTCTAATTGTAAGACATATAAAATATGGGGATTCAGAAAGTTTAAAAATACAAATCTGGAGAAAAATGTAACTATCACATTAAAAAAAAAAATCAAAAGAAATTGGTTGTAGGTATCTTGATATAAAACAAAGTAGACTTAATGTAAAAAACATAATTAGGGTCTATATAATGACAAAATAATTCCTTTACCAGATAAATATAATAATTTTAAACTTATAACTATGTGTCAAGTAACATAGTTTAAAAATACATAAAGCAGGGGCCAGGGACTTAGCTCAGTGGCACTGCACCTGCCTCTCGAGCACAAGGTCCTGAGTTCGATCCCCAGTACCAAAAAGGAAAAACATAAAGCAAAAACAATCTGAACTAAAACAGACATAATTACAATTACAATAGATTCTTAACATATTTGTTCATAATTTGTGCCTAACACCTCAGTGTCTTTGTGACATATATAAAATTTTAACAAATACCAAGGGATTGAAATTCTAAAGATTATGGTTTTTGACCACAATGTCATTGTGCTAGAAATTCTTAAAGTTTTAAAGAACTAGAAAATTGCTACAATTTAAAATGAAGAGGCAGGGCATGGTAGTGTATACCTGTAATGGTAGCATTCAGGAGGCTGAGGCAAGAGGATTGTCAAGAGCTCAAGGCCAGCCTTGGCTATATAGTGAGTTCAAGACCAGCCTGAAGTACATAGCAAGACCCTGTCTCAAAAACCTAAATAAATAAATGAATAAATAAGATTAAGAAATATACTTTTAATAATCCATGACAGAAAAAGAAGCCACAATGAAAATTAGAATATATTTTGAAGTAAATGATAATAAAAATACAAAATACCAGGACTTGTTTATAAGTTTAAGTGCATGCATTTGAAAAAACCGAAGATGGCTGAGGATTTAGCTCAGTGGTTTCGCCGCCTGCTGCGCAAGCACAAGGACCCGAATTCAATCCCCGGTACCAAACAAAAACAAACGAAAAAACTGTGAGCTGAAAAAACCGAGGATCAATAAACAAAATCATCTTAAGAAATGAGTAAGGGCCGGGGATTTAGCTCAGTGGTTTTGCTGCCTGCTGTGCAAATGCAAGGACCCGAGTTCAATCCCTGGTACCAAAAAAAAAAAAAAAAAAAGAAATTAGAAAAAGAATAAAACTCAAAGAATAAAAACAATTAATAATAGTAGAAGCATAATGAGATAGAAAATCATCTCAATATAGATAATCCAAAAAGCCAAGAGTTGGTATTTTCAAAAGACAAATTTATATACCCCTAGTGAGACTGATAAAGAAAAAAGAGAGAAATCATGCATGTATTCAAATAACAGAAATGGGGTATTATTACAGATCCTACAAATATTAAAATTTTATGAAAAATTTGAAATTTTAGATGAAATGGACAAGTTGACCCAAGAAGAAATAGAAAACCTGAGAGTTCCTAGCTTAAAGAATTTGAGTCTTTCATGTAAAACCTTCCAAGAAAAACTCAGTACTGCAGAAAAAAAGAAAAAAGGATGCTCCAGGACTAGAAGGTTTCACAAGAAACACATACAGATAGTGTAAGAATAAACAGTGGCATTCATACACAAACTAAAATTTGGAAAAGAGGACACATGATAATTACACGATAATTTCTTCTATGTGTTCTCAATCTTCCTTATGAACATAGATTCAAAATCCTAAGTGTGAGAAAACCAGGAGGGAGGGGGAAAGGAAGGAAGGAACAAGAAAAAAGTGAAAATAGAAGGAAAAAATGGAAACAAAGCATTTGTTCATAGGGAGGGGAGGGAGCTTGAGGGGGAAGGGGATAAAATAAAATTAACTTTAAAATAATGAGGAAACTGAGCTCAGCACTTTATAAAAAGGAAAAGGCATCAAAATCTTATGTGACATATCCTAGAAAAGAGTGTTTGGCTTAAGGTTTTAAATAAAGCCATATAAGCCAACACATTTACAAAATGAAGGAATAAAATCATATGCTAATTTTAGTAGATGTCAAAAACTGATATCCACTTATAAGTTAATAAAAATATCTTTTAGAAAACTAGGATTAGAAAGGAACTCTCTTTCTCTGGTTAAAGATGCCTACAAGATTTCATCAGCAAATAGCAAAATAATTGCAATAAAAATTAGACAAAATGTCCATTATCACTTTTATTAAATGTTATATTGAAGATCCTAAATGCACTATCAATAAATTTATGGGCATGCTGAGTATGTTCATGTCATTAGCAAAGCAAGATCACCAAAAGTTTACCTTGAAATGATTTAATAAAAAAAAAAATCAAATTTTGGTTCCTCCGCCTGCCTTGCAAGCGCAAGGACCTGAGTTCGATCCCCGGTACCCCAAAATAAATAAATAAATAAATAAATCAAATTCAATACAATACAATAGTACAATAATTCCCGAACTATTCTGTCCCAGTCACCTGTCCTTCAAAGACAAGGTTTAAAAAAATATAGATCTGATTAGAAAGTAAGGATGTTCTCAAAATATACACCCCATAATGACAGGAGTAAGTCAAAGAAGCCAACGGAAAGGGCTCCTTATCTCCAGAACTGGGACAATCTCAATGAGATAAAGAGTATGGATTATAGTCCGAAGTATAAATTAAATATCCGTGAGTCCTACGCTGATATAAATGATTAACGAATGAGTAAGTAGGGGAGAAGAGACAATCTCCTATACAGAAGAATCCCAAATACTTTCGCAGATGTTCTGCTCTCGAGGTGGCGCCTAGGTTCTCACTGTGGACGCTTATAGGGGCTCCCTTTCAAAGAGGACAGTGTGGAAAGGTGGGAAGCGGGTGTGAGGGTCACTAGCTTACAGCGGAGAAATCTCACACGCTGTACTAGAGCCAGATAGTCAAGAGCAACATCAACAGCAGTAAGAATGTTGACGAGCTGGAGCTGAGAGTGTTACTTCACCTCCGCGGTCTTCCTCCCCCAAACACAAAACTCCAGTCTGCAACTGCAGGCGTTCTGCCCACAGTCTTCTAAATAACTGACCAATACTCTCCAAAACTGTCAAGGTCATCCAACAGAAAGTCTCAAAAATTGCTACAGCCAAGATTAGCCTAAGGAGGTTGGAAGACTAAACATAATGTGTGTCCTGGGTGGACACTGGTACGGAAAAAGAAAATCAGGTAAAAGCTAAGGGGGTCTGAAAAAGCATGCACTCTGGTTTAATAATAATGTATCAGTCTGGGGCCATAGCTCAGAGGTGGGCCATGTGGTTAGTATGCATGTGGCCCTGGTTCCATGCTGCACACACATGAACACACACACACACACACACACACACACACAGAGATAAAAATAATGTATCAGTATCGGTCATTTCTTGTGACAAATTTGTAGAGTGTATGGAAACTCTCTGTAAATCTCAATGTTAAAATAAGATAAAGTTTATGAAAAAACATCAACAACTAAATATGCCCTAAATACTGAGTATGATGTGGTATGGTTCCTACTCTCATGAGCTATTGAAAAGTCTGCCAAGTATTGGGCTGAATATGGGGCTACTACTGCTCCTAGGCTGGGGGTAGGTGCACAGGCCTCTGTTGTACCCTAAGTATCATTTGTATATTGGGGACTGGCACCTGGTCTCCTGCACGCTAGGCAAGCACTCTACCACTGAGCTATAACTCCAACCTCCATTGTATTTATTCTTTATGTCTGAATGTCAAGTATTTCAGTTTCTCAGGGTGTTAATTGTAAAGCAATTGTACAGAAGTAAAAATGTCAATTTTTCCTGTGTGTCTACTTAAATGTTTTGGTTTTGGTTTTTGAGACAGGGTCTCACTGTGTGGTTCTGGCTGGTCTTGAACTCACTATGTGGCCCAGGCTGACCTTGAACTCCTGGGGATCCTCCTGCCTCAGCCTCATGAGTGCTGGGATTACAGGCGTGTGCCACAATGGCCAGTTTAAATGTTTTTTTTTTTTTTTTGGTATGAGGGATCGAACTCAGGTCCTTGCGCTTGCGCAGCAGGCAGCAAAACCACTGAGCTAAATCCCCGGCCCCAGTTTAAATGTTTTTTGAGACATCAAACTATTTGAAAATAAGTATTTAGCATTCCTGTTTTACTGGTTCTCAGGGTGTCCCGTGTGCCCGTAGGATGCTGGGCACAAATCCTTGAGGAGAAAGCAGAACCAGCTCATCCCTGGGTGGTCCAGACTCACTGCTTCCAACCGTTTTCCTGACTGGTAATTAAGGGCGTCTCTTCCCTGACAATGTAATGTCTATCTATCCGGACAGACTGTTAGCTGTCTGGGAGCAGGATTAGCAAGAGGCCTGGTGCAGAACCAGTGGGCAGTAAATATTCACTGAATGAAAGCATGACTATAACTTCGTGAGGAGAGGTGATGTACGACCGTAATCACAGAATTCTGGGAGGCTGAGGCAGGAGGACAGGAAGTTAAACCCCAGCCTTGGCAACGTAGTGACTTAGGGAACTCCTGTCTCAAAAGACTTTAAAAAGGGCTGGGGATGTAGCTCAATGTGAAGGTCCTAAATTCAATCTCCAGTGTGAAGAAAGAAAGAAGAGAAAGGAAGGAAGGAGGAAGGAAAGGGAGGACAGAGAAAAGAAAGAAAAGCAAAGAAAAGCCACTCAGGCCTTTGAGTTACCTGTACCTGAGCATGAATTTTAGCTTTCCCACTTACTGCGAATGGAATCAGTGATAGTGCCTATTCCGAAAGCTGCTCTGCGGAGGAATGTGCTTGCTGAGGGTTCTTTGTAAATGATGATAATTGTATTAGGTGCATGTTGAATTAAAGAGCTTAATATTTGTAAAGTGTTTATTTAGAACAGTTCCCAGCACAGGGTGAGTGCTTCTTATTTGTGTTTTTCTACTTTTGCTGTTGACCAAATTAAACTTCATTCATTTTGTTCAGTCTGTTAGGGATATTACTTGGAAATTCTACATTCTTCAGACAGAAAAGTCCCAAAACATATACTATAAATTCTCATTGGCTCAAAATACATCATTCTGAGATATGTGATAATGCAGAAAGGAGCCTGGTCTGAAGTTTGTAGTATTTATGGGGAAATGATGTGTGCTACAAAAAGATATCATTACAGGGCCAGGGATTTAGCTCAGTGGTGCTGCCACCTGCCCTGCAAGTGCAAGGACCCGAGTTCGATCCCTGGTACCAAAAAAAAAAAAAAATCATTACATTATTTAAGGAAATCATTTCAAAGCACTTCGGCAAAATCATTCATGTAGCATTAACAATCCCAAGCTTGGGCTGGGGATTTAGCTCAGTGGTTTCGGTGCCTGCCTCGCAAGTGCAAGGTCCCGAGTTCAATCTCTGGTACCAAAAAAAAAAACCCACACACACAAAAAACAATCCTAAGCTTACAGGGATTTGTCTGACACCTGTCTTTCCAACATTGGCTTTAAATTTTTTAACCTAGCGCAAAATGTAAGACACTAACTTTGCATCATGACCAAGTACACAGTAATATGTGTATATGAATATATACCTATACATATATGTGCATGTACTGTATAAATGTGTGTATGTATAATGGAAACAAACTTTACTGCATAGCAGTTACCCTTAGTGAAGTGATGAATGTTTTTTCCAAGTTGATTGCATTCTATCCATTCAATTCTGTCTCATTCAAAAAATGCTAGTCAAGCTCTACTAAAAAGATTTAATGAGGGCTGGGGATTTAGCTCAGTGGTTCTGCTGCCTGCCCTGCAAGTGCAAGGACCCGAGTTCGATCCCTGGTACCAAAAAAAAAAATTTAATGACTAACTATAATGGTTTGAAGCCAGTAGCTTGATAAAAATATACATACATACATATATATATATATATAATATATTCGTGAACTCAGGGCCTTTGTACTGAGCTATACCCCCAGCCCTTTTTTATTTTTTGTAATTTTGAGACAGGATCTTGCTAATTTGCCCTGACAGGGCTCAAACTCATGATCATCCTGTCTCAGCCTCCTAGAGTGCAGGATTACTGGTGGGCACCAATGCACCAGGCATGCTTCTGTATCAATACAAATATCTATTGCTGTGAACCAGTGTAGTCTCAAATGTTAGCCTGCATTGGGAGCCCCCGAAGAGCCGTTAAATAGGTTGCTGGGCTGCAGCGGATGAGTGGGTGAGAACTGGCACTTCCCTCCGAGAACTTCCGAGGTGGGGCCGTTGCTGCTGGGCTGCAGCCCTCAGAAGACCCACTGCAGACCCGAGAAGCTCCGCTCTGGTCGCACTAGGGACTGAAAACAAAGGGAGCCCCATTGCGTGTTTTCGTACACCTGTCTGGCTCCAGCTTTACTTTCAAATTCATTCACTCTTTGCCTTAGATCCAACACCCACCTACCTGGATCCTGAGCTAATTCGGGTTTTCCCCGATTTTGGTAGGCCTGTATCGCTATATTCCCTACCAGTCAAACTGTCCACATTCATCTTCCCAGTTGTGTGTCTCTCTCCCTCCCTCTCTCTGTCTCTGTCTCTCTCTCTCTCTCTGTCTCTCTCACCAGAGGTTGACGAGTTTACTAGGATAGCTTCACTTGTTTGATAAACATAATTAATCATCACAATAATTCAAAGGACAGTTACCTTTGCTGGTTTTATTGAGAGTTCACAATGAATTCGTTACTTCTCTGATATCAAGTCGATCAAAAAGTAGTGGTAGTGTCTTGCGGCTCTTTGCTCTTTATGACTTTTGGTCTCTTCTCTCTCCAGAAGTTGGGGAAATGTACACAGTCATTAATAAGAAAACTACCTTGCTCTTGATCAGTTACTCCAGTTAAAAGAAGGGACAAAAATACACATTACAGGGCCAGGGATTTAGCTCAGTGGTGCCATGCCTGCCTGGCAAGCACAAGGTCCTGAGTTTGATCACTGGTACCAGAAAAAAAATACATATTACAAAGATCTTTTGGATAGAATCACCATCAGCTAAATAAAAAAAGAACTGCAGGTAGATCCAGCTGGGTGTGGAGGAGCATGCCTGTAATCCCAGCACTTGGGAGGCTAGGGCAAGAGGCTTCGGAGTTCACGTCCAGCCTGGTCTACATAGCGAGTGTAAGCCCACCTGACATAAACTGCCAGACACAGAGAAACAGAAAGAGATACATAGATAAAGTTACATTGAGATGACAAAGAAAATGGCCCTTAGCTGTAAATTTCTCGGTTTTGAGCAGTGGTAGTACCTCTGCCCAAGAAGACATTGATGAAATCAAATGTTAAGAAGTCTCAGATTTGCCATCCATAGGGCAAAGAGTTAAATAAATGGTGGTATGTGGCCAGAAAGCAGCAGTGGGGCAGCTGGCCACTGGCGTTGACACGAAAGAGAGAAATGATACCCAAGGGCCAGGACAGAGAGAGGCAGGGAGAGGCTGCCAGCTGAAATGGGGAAATTGACTATTGGACCAGGGAAGGAAACAGCAGCTGAAACCAGGAGCCAGAAAAGGGCACTGGTATCCAGTTTAAACCCTTGGGGAAGGAAAAACTGCTTGGCTTCAAGTTCAAAGAAGGCCCTCGCATCTGAATTCATCTTATGACTGGTGCTCTGATTCCTCTTGCATCTTAGGTTGGATTCGTTCTTACTTTCCTTTGAGTAGATGACTGGGTGAGGGAATTCCAGCAAGTTTTACGGAGTGGGGATCCCATAACAAGAACAGTATTTAATTTCCTTTTTAGCTTCAGTGTATTTAAACAAACATTGATCTTTTCTTCATCAAAACCACAATTAAATTTTGAGTTTTGGAGCAGGCGACCAAGATGCTTAGGAGGGTAGGAAGTGCTGAAAGAGGACTCAAGATCAGCAGCTTTTCCCAGACACCCAAACTTACAATGCCTTTGGCTTGGAGAGTAGTGGTTACTGGATTTTTGGTTCCTTTCGTCTTGAAAGCCCCATCCCCCATCCCTCTCGGGCTCCTGGGATTCAAATGTAGATGAAATGCAGATTATTGAGAGAAAGGAAGAGTGACTGCTTTGGCTGTTGAGTGGGAAAGGGGAAGACCTCAAATTTAAGATTGTAGGCACTGCTCTCCCGAAACAGAAAATGGCTGTGATTCCTCATCGGAGGCGTGTTACCTTGAGAAGTACTGGTGGCTGATTATCCGTGATTTGGGACCATCCGGAAAAGGAGTGAAATTGTTTACGGGGCGAGGTAAGAGCTGAAATTTACTGCCAGTAGATGCGTATTGTGATTGTGTGTCCGTGTCTCTTGTTGGCCATTTCTATAATCTTCTGAGGTTCATGTACCTTTCTAGTACACAGTATTTATTGTACAGGATGTATTTCTGGTACAGTCTTCCTGATGCGTTTAGGGATGCGACTTCACTTTTATTCTCAATCCACGAGAAAATACTTTCACAGAGCACCCACCATGCTGTGGTCATGGTAACTAACTACAGCAAAACTTCACCATTTCCTAAAAGGTGATATAAATTCAAAGCCCTTCCCTGATCTCCAGCATCTTTACTTCTCATCAAATGTTTATATTAAAAAGGGTGGGAAGAAAGCAGAATTTGCTGAAAAGTTAACTAATGGGGTATAAAAGATATTTAAGCAAAATAGCGTTCACTAAACTGGTGGGTGTTCCAAATGCAGGGAGGACAGCATGATGGCCCGATGAGGGGCAGAAAGTGGACAGCTGAGAACTTGGCCAGCTGCTCGGGCACTGGTTAGCTTCCAGCGGGGTCCTCTGCGGGGTAGAGAGAGGCGGTCGGGGCTATTTGGATCTGCCTGCCCAAGCTTTGGCATAATCTACCAGGGTTACACTTGGAACATGGACGGCTAACCACTGCCGCATAAATAACCCAACTGAAGATGAAAGGTTTAACGTAAATTCTTTTTTTTCCCCCTGGTATTGCCTGGGGATTGAACCGGGGCCTTCACACTGAGCTACATCCCTAGCCCCTTTCATTTCGAGACAGGGTCTCAGCAAGTTGCTAAGCTGCCCACACTGGGCTCTGAATTTTCGGTCCCCCTGGCTCCCCCTCCCAGAGTGCTGATATTACAGGCGTGGGCCACCGCGCCTGACGTGAGATTGACTTTTTTGCGCACCTGTGTAAGGCTGCAGTCTCCAGGCTGCTCGCCCCTTTTTTCAGATACTGACTCGGTGTCTGAGTTTAGGCGTTGCCGATGTCCTTCACTGCTCCTTTCTCCTCCCTCTTGGGCAACAGTGGCAGCACTGGAGGCTCTTTAGAGATAAATACATTACAGCACCGCTAAGCGTGGCGATCCGCCTTGTGAATGCTTAAGCTGTTTTTGAAAGTGGCGGTCTACGCTGAGGGCAGTGGGCAGAAGCCATGCTTATTATGCTCGGTCTATCACTGTATCTAGGTTTGTATGGGAGATGTACTTGTCCACTGTATACCGATGGCCCCTTTTATCCTTATTTTTTAATCCTCTGCGTGACTTTTAAAAACATCATGACCTTCACGTATTTGACCGCCTCGTGCTCGTGTGCACTAACTGCTGTGAGACTTCTGTCTGTAAAGTCTTCGCCTTCGCCTTCAGGGAGCTTACAATTTCTGTGGGTGAACTGGCAGTCTGGAGATAACTAGCAGGTGCAGCAAATAACGCAGATGCTCGGGAGGAGGAGGAGGAGGAGGAGGAGGAGGAGGAGGAGGACAGAATCCGCTGCGCCGTCCGGGGGTCCGGGCTGGAGGCTGATGGGAAGACTGATTCGATTCTTGTCCCGGAATCTGATAATGTGGGTGACAGGTCTCCCGCTAGCTCAGCAGCTATTATGTACCCCCGGAATCTGATAATGTGGGTGACAGGTCTCCCGCTAGCTCAGCAGCTATTATGTATCGTAGCTGCCCTCTTCCCATCGTGCCTTGCCCCCTCCCCTGTGTGACGTCATGCCAAGATGGCTGCTCCCAGCAAAGAATAAACCCTTCTTCCCAGCATGCCCCTGTTCCCGCCTAGAAAGTAACCTAATACTCGCTCACCTCCTACAACCTAGTGACATCACCGGCTCCTCCATTCCCTAGTCACTACCCCACTCAACCCCACCTCAGCCCCTACAAGCCCCATCCCAGTCTCTATAAAAGGCTCTCCCTGCCCCGGCCATATTGCTTTTGTCTCTCCTTTGTTCAGAGACAGCTCGGCACATCTATTCCCCTAATAAAGGCTTGTTGTGGCTTGGTCTGGTTTTGGTCTTCGGCCCTTTTACCTGACAGTGGGTAACGGGATTCTCGTGGACGCGGAGATGCGCATTCACTGGGCCATAACTTCCTTGGCTGGAGAATGCAGGCAGCCAGGGCCAGGAGGGCAGGTCTGGTCGAGGGGGGCAGCCAGAGATGGGGTTGGGAGGAAGGTTAACGTCCCGAACTGGGAGCGCAGCTGCAGGTGACGTCGGGGCCGGGGACTGCGGGCCCGGAAGGGCTTTGCAGGCGGAGGAACGGCAGGTCGAGGTGCCCGCCGGAGGGACGGGATGGGGCGCGCGGGGACTCCGGGGCGGGGCTGCTCGGGGTCCCGGGCGTGGGGCGGGTGGGAAACTGCGCGAGGTCCGTACAGACTGGTCGGGTTTGAGAGAGGAAACCGGGGAGGAGCTGGGCCCGGAGCTGTGGGATGGGACCGAGGAACGCGGTGGCCCGCGAGGAGGCGTGGGGGCCGGGGGCCGCCTCGCTCTGCCCAGCAAGGGGACGCCCTGACCCGGCGGGCAGCCCGTGCCATCTCGCGTGGGGAGCGGAAGGAGCCCCGCGGCCGACAGCCTCGACCCAGGGAGCCCGGGCCCCGAAGTCCCGGCCCCGGACCCCCGGGAGGAAGCCGCTACCCAGGGGGCGCTCGGGCCGGGCTCCAGGTCTTGGCGGCGGCCGCGGGGAGGAGGGGCGGGGCGGGGGCTCCGCCTGGGGTTCGCCCGCCGCGGGGAGCGGTCGGCCGCTGGGGTCCGGGCGCCTGCCGGCCGGCCCGCACACCCCCAGCCCAACTCGGGCTGCCCCCGAGGCCCGGGACCCGCCCTCCCCGGCCTCGAGCGCCCCGGCCCAGCAGCCCGGTGGGCGGTGCCACGACTGAGCCGACCCCTACGGGCGGAGGGGCTTGGGGGCCGGAACCCCTCCCGGCCCCGCCCACCTTCCGGTCCCTCCCCTTCCGGCGGCCTCGCTCCGCCCCCGCCCCTCCCGCGAGGGCGGCCGCACTGGGCATGCTCAGTCGCCGGGGCAGGTTTCCGGGTCGCACGTGGGAAGCCATCTACCCTCGGCCGGAGAGGGAGCAGCTGCTCCTGCGCACAACCGCGCCGCGCCGGCCGAGTCGCCGCAGAGCGCGAGAGGCGCCCGGGTGCACCGCGCCCGCGCCCGGCCCGAGCAGGAAGCGCAAGCCACGCAGGACCAACTGAAGCCGAGCCGCCGCGCCCGCCGCCGCCAGGGCCTCCGAGGAGCCGCGCGAGGTACAACCCTCCCCCCCTCCTTGCAGTTCTGATAGCAGATGCTTAATGACGATAAGTTATGGTATTGAAACTCATCGAAAATGCCTCCCTCGGAGGCCTGTTTTTGTTTCTAGAGACGTAGAGTTGTGTTGTTTTGATCCAGGCGGTCTTATTGTAGGGTAACAATGGTATGAAGCTATAAATGGACACTGCAGGATGACAACCTGGAAATCTCTAGTACTTGAGTTTCCAGGGAAAGGGACATACTCTAGTTTTTCCATTCCCCTCCCCTGCCTTCAGTCCCTCTTCCGCTCCTTCTTTACAAGAGCTTTGATTCAGTTTTTTCTTCTGTTCTCTTTGTTTTCTTGTCCCTTCTTTCCTCACCTCCCCACCCCCGTTTCCTTTCTCATTTGAACATTCACTTACCATTTCCCAATATCTGTTACATATTCTGGTCCTTACTTGCACTTTTGGTTTCTCACACCAGAGAAACAACGTGATATTTAAACGTGTGTGTCTCATTGATTTCACCCAAGAGTGTGGTCTCAAGCGTACCGCTATTATTGTATTGTCTTATTACATAATCATCTCAAGCTTGTCTATTATATTATACTCTGTTTAAAAAAATCTTCTTTACCCATTTGTCAGTTGATGGGGATTTGGGCTGTTTCCAATATTTAGCACACTGTGCCGCTATAAACATGAGTGTGGATATATGGCTGTGGTATGATGCTTTTTAACTCTTTTGGGAAGACACCAAGAAGGGGAATAGCTGGGTCAAATGGAACCTCTAGCTTTAGCTTTTTGCGAAATCTCCACACTTGATTTCCACAGTGGTTGCACCAGTCTACACCCCCAGCAACAATGGAGCAGGGTTCCTTTTCCCCAAACCCCTCCAGCATTTGTTATTATTGATTGATTTGTTGACAGCAGCCATTCTTTCTGGAGTGAGATGGAATCTCAGCATTGTTTTAATTTGCATCTCTCTAATGACCAGTGATGATGTTGAACATTTTTTCATGTATTTACTTGCTGTTTCTGCTCCTTCATCTGAGAAATGTCAATTTATTTAAGATGCCCATGTTTGGATTGAGTCTCAATTTGGAAGGTCTGATTTTTTTTTTTTTTGAGTTCTTTATATATTCTAGGTATTAGTCCCCTGTCTGAGGAACAGCTGGCAAAATTTTTTTCCCCACAGAAAGTTTGTCTCTTCATTCTTTTGGTGGTTTCTTTTGCTGTGCAAAAGCCTTTTAATAAGATGAGATTCCAGTTGTTGATTCTTGGTGATATTTCCTATGTGACTGAGGTTTTGTTCAAAAACTTTTCCCTAAGGCCAGGGATTTAGCTTGGTGGTTCTGCTGCCTGTCTCAAGTGCAGGGTTCGGAGTTCAATCCCTGGTACCAAAAAAAAAAAGGTTTCCCCAATTTATACAAGAGTTCTACCTATTCTATGTTCCACCAGATTTAATGTTTCTGTAATAATACTTAGACCTTTGGTTCATTTTGGTTTTAGTTTACTGCATGATGAAAGATACGAGTCTAGTTTTAATCTTCAGCATGTGGAAAGCCAGTTTTTTCAGCACTGAGTATTAAAGATGCTGTTTTTCTTCCAGTGGAGGTATTTGGCTCCTTTGTCAAAGATAAGGTGGCTGAGTTATGTTTGGAGTTGTTTCTACATCTTCTAATCTGTTCCGATGATCCCTGGGGGTTTTTTGTTTGTTTGTTCTTTCGTTTTTGCCAGTACCATGCACAGTAGCTTTGTATTATAATTGCAGGTCAGGGATTATGATACCTCATGCCTTGCCTTTTGCTGTTGCTTTTGCTTTTCGTATTCTAGATCTCTTCTGGTTCCAAATGAATTTTAAGAATGTTTTCTGTAATTCTGTGAGATATGCTAGTGGTATTTTGATCGAGATTGCATTAAATCTGCATAACAATTTTGGAAGTATAGCCATTTTCACTATATTGGTTCTTCCTACCCAAGAACAAGGGATATCTTTCCATTTTCTGATATCCTCCTTGATCTCCTGCAGAGTACTATAGTTTTCAATGTAAAGTTTCCTTCGTTAGATTAATTCCTAGGTATTTCAGGGTTTTGGATGCTATTGTGAAAACTGTTGTTTCCCTAAATTCTCTCTCAGTAAGTTTGTTATTTGTGTACAGGAATGCTGGTGATTTTTGAGTGTCGACTTGGTATCCAGCTGTGTGACTAAATTTGGTTATTAAATCTAAGTCTTTTGGTGGTTTGGGGGCTCTTCTATGTAGAGTGTCATGTCATCTGCACATAATGATAATCTAACTTCTTCCTTTCCTATCCTTATTCCTTTTATTTCTTTCTCTTGTCTGATCATTGTGGCTAGTGTTTGCAGAACTATATTGAACAAGAGTGGTGGCAGTGGACATCCTTGTCTTGTTCCTGATTTTAGTGTGAAAGTTTTCAGGTTTTGTCCATTTAGTATGATGTTGACTGTTGGTTTGTTGTAGATGGCTTTTATCAGATTGAGATGAAGACCAACTCTACCCATTTTCTGTAGGGTTTTTTTTTTTTTATCATGAATGGGTGTTGGCCCTTGTCAAATGCTTTTTCTGCATCTATTGAGAGGATCATATAGTTTTTGACCTTGGCTCTGTTAATATGGTGTATTACATTTACTGATTTGCGTATGTTGAACAATCCCTGCATCACTAGGATGAATCCTACTTGGTCATGGTGTATGATCTTCTTTTTTTTGGTACCGGGGATCAAACTCGGGTCCTTGTGCTTGCGCAGCAGGCGGCAAAACCACTGAGCTAAATCCCCAGCCATATGTATGATCTTCTTGATGATTTGCTTGCTGCATTCTGTTTGCCAGTATCTCATTGAGGATTTTTGCGTTTCTGTTCATTAGGCAGAGTGGCCTGCAGTTCTTTTTTTCATTGGATCCTTCTTTGGTTTTAGGGTCAGGGTAATGCTTGCTTCCTTCCAGGAATGAATTTGGTAGTACAGCTTCCCTTTTAGTTTCATTAAAGAGTTTGAGAAGTAGTGGCCCTAGGTCTTCACTGAATTTCTTGTGGAATTCAGCAGTGCATTTTACAAAGCAAGGCCTGGGCTTTTCTTTGTTTGTAGGTTTTTAATTACATCTTCAATTTCATTGACTGATACTGGTTTATTTAGAATTGTTACATCTTCTTGATTCAGCTTTGGTAATTCATATGTATCTAGCAATCTGTCCATTCTGTGCTTTCCATTTTATTACAACACAGGTTTTTGAAGTAGGTATTGATGATGATCTTCTGGATTTCTGTGGATCTTTTCATCCCTAATTGCGTGAATTTGAGGGTTTTCTTTTTATAAGATTGGCTGGGGGTTGTCAATTTTATCAGTCTTTCAAAGAAGCAAATCTTCTATCATTGATTCTTTGAATTGTTTTCTTGGTGTCCATTGCATTAATTTCTGCTCTTATAATTTCCTCCCTTATAGGAACTTTGGGCTTGACTTGCCCTTTTTCTAGAAGCTTGAGGTTCAACATTAGGTTGTGTTTTTTTGAGCTCTTAATATTTAGCTGATGTGGGAATTACTGCTATAAATTTCCCTCCTAAGACTGCCTTCATTTCATCTCATAAGTTCCAGTATGTTGTATTGGCATTATTGTTTAATTGTAGAAACCGTGTGATTTCTTCTTTAATTTCATCTGTGACTCATTGGTTGTTCCATGTGTTTATGAAGTTCTTGTAGTTTCTTTTGCCAATGATTTCTAATTTCATTTCAGTATGGTCTGATAATATGCATGGGATAATTTCAGGTTTTTTGCATTTACTTAAGCATGTTCTGTGAGCTAGTATGTGGTCTAGTTTGGAGAATGTCCCATGTACAGCTGAGAATGTATATTCTGATGTTTTTGGGGGGGGAGCACTCTGTAGACATCTACTAAGTCCGTTTGTTAAAGTGTGGTTTAGTTCTGATATTTATTTGTGATTTTTTTTGTGTGTCTAGTTGATCTATTTGTGACAGTGGAGTATTGAGGTCCTCCATTACAATTGTGTTAGTGCTTATTTGACTTTTTATGTTCGTTAATGTTTGTTTTATATAGTTGGGTGTGCTGGTATTTGATGCATATGTATTTATGATCCTTACCTCTTCCTATTGAATTGTCCCTTTCCAAAGATGTAATGACCTTCTTTGTCTCTCTTAATAACTCTTGGCTTAAAATCCACTTTGTCTGCCAATAGACTAGCTACCCCTGCTTTTTTTTTTCCAGGTTCCTATCACATGGAGTATTACTTTCCATCCTTTCACTTTAAGAATTTGTTTTTTAATTGTGTTTCTTCTATGCAGCCTATTGTTGGATCTTCTTCTTTTTTTTGTACCAGGGATCGAACCCTGGACCTAGCACTTGTGAGGCAGGCATGGTGCCCCTGAGCTAAATCCCCGGCCCTGGATCTTCTTGATCCATTGTGCCATGCTGTTTCTTATGATTGGTGAATTGAGACCTTTTACACTGTTGGCTATAACTGGTATGTATTGACTTATCCTTGTCATGTTATTTTCCTTTTGGTCACCCCAACCCCATTTAATTACTTGCCTTGCCTGGTGGATTCATGGAGCTGTAGTCCTCGTTATCTCTTTTTAGAATGTCCATGGAAACATTTTGGAATGTCCTTCAGATCATTTTGAAGTGCTTGTTCGGTGGTCATGAATATCTTCAGGTGTTCTTTGCCGTGGAAGTATCTTATTTCTCCATCAATTTTGAAAGATAGTTTTGCAGGGTACATCAATCTTCATTGGAGGTTGTTTTCTTTCAGGGCTTGAATTACTTTAAGATCTCTTTGACTTGAGGTTTTATGTTGAGAAGTTTGCTATGATTCTGATGGGCTTTCTTTTATAGGTGATTTGTTTCTTTTCTCTAACAGTTTTTAATATTCAGTTCTTGTGTTGAATTTCTGGAATCATGACTATGATATACCTTAGTGTACTTTTTTTTTAATCATGACTAATTGGAGTTCTGTATGCCTCAGTTATATATGTCAAATTCTTTTTCCATG